TATGCAACATGCAGGAATTGCTCCTCAGTTCGCGCCCGATCCACCCCTGTTTTGACGACTTCAGGGAAGTACCATTGCTCTTCTCCTTCTTTTCTGCTATTACATTATCACATTGAGGGCAATGTGTGACTTAGGTGTGGGGGGGTCAGTTTGGGTGCTAGATATTTCCATTTTTCATTTTTTCGGTTGTTTTCCTCTTGTTTTCTGTTTAGGTGTTGTTCCTTTATCCCTTTTGGGTGTTTTTCCCTTGCTGTTATCTTGGTGAATATTTTGGCAGCTCAATTTTTTTATTGCTAGTTGTAGTTTACACTATGAATTGAGTTTCGGTGGCAAGTAAGAGCATGCTCTCCTGGTGAATATTTTGAGTTTAACGATTTGGTGCAATTTATGGCTAACTTGTTTAGGCAATGTAAATATTTTGCTGACGTTGTTGTGTGGATTAGTCTCCTGTTGACCTTAGTTCTCCATATTTAGGACATGACGTAGGCTATGATATTTAATTATTGGGTATTTTGGTGTTTTATGGTGAATAACGTATGGCTATACTCCGCTAGTGTCGTCACCCAGTAACCGGGAGTCTTCACCACAAGTGCCGGCTCTCGCGTCAAAAAAGTTGCGATATCTATGAGTAAGTAGTCCTGGAGCTGTGAAAAATTGAGTAACTGGGCTCTTTCATCTAAAAATATCAGAGTTCACGTCAAAAAACTTGAATAGTTTGGGACTAAGCATTATTTGTGCGATCAAAAAAAAAAGGAAAAAAAAAAGAAAACGAAAAAAAGATAGAGAGAACAGATGTGAAAAATATGATGGTCTATGATCATGTTGGCTCGCCGATCCTTGGCTCTCAATGTTGAGATTTTGGTTGCCAGTTGACTTAATTGCTGACTGTGCTAGTTAATATTTGGATTTTCTGAGCGAGTTAGCCATAAATTGGACGAGTCTATGAACTTAGGAACTAACCGGGAGAGATATGACTTGACACTTAGCCACTAAATCTTGATTTTGGTATAAGCACAGCTGGCAATGATAATGTTAAAGCTAGCCATTGTAAAGTTGAATTGTCTCCATGCTTGAGGGCAAGCATAATTCAGGTGTGGGTGGAATTGATAGGGTATCATTTGTTAGTAATTTTATTATTAATTTTCCCTTTTATCCCTACCCAATATTGCGTTAATTGTTGATATCTACTTATATTTGGAATCTGGACTTAATTTCAGGAATGAAGCGGAAAATTACCAAAAAGGAGGGACTTTATGAAGAAAATGGAGACTTCTAAGGACTTCAATCCTTGGGCCCTTGAATTGGTGGGAGACCACAAAGCTAGTGAAAGATATTTAGTCATTTGGGCTCTTCAAAGAAAGCAACGTAGAGAGACTTGGAACAAGAAATAATTTGGAGGCTTTGTCCACATGTGTAGGGACCACCTAGATAGCTTTTAGTCATCTTTATTTTGGTTCTTTAAAAGGGGACAACATACAAAAGCAAAGCACGGCTTTAGTTTTAGCTTTTCAGTTTAGTTATAGTTTTCTTTCTTTTGACTGGCCTCTGACACACGCCAGGTGTTCGACAATATTCCCTAACGGGAAAAATATCTTTTATTCCTTGCTTTCTGGTAAAAAACCGCAATGCCTTTGCAACCCATTGATTAGTGTGGTGATTTAATTATGCGGCGTGGCTAAGTCTTCCATCTAGTCAATGGTCAACTCGACGGCGTAGTCCCGAAAAATCTGTAAGATCTAATTAGTTTTCACACGTTCCTTAATTTATTAATATTTGCACGTTGTCTGCTTGAATTTTCATGAGATTATTCTATTAATTGGATGTCAAGGGTCCGATGTTCAATGTGATTTATTAATCTCGTGCTAATTTAGTCAATTAAATCCGTAATTGTTTGATTGATTAATATTAGTGGCAACTGGTGTATTTACACATTAGAGGAACGTGCAATCTAATTTAAATAACTCTCGTAACGTGTTATTGATTAGGGTTAGGTTTTTCTAGTTATTAATGCAATTGAAAAATTAATTCCTGCGGTCGTACCTAGGAGTATTTTTTGGTTAGGAGTGATCAATGGTCGTACCTTGGTTATCAATAATTTAAGGAAAAATTGGTTGTTAGAATTCATCGGCGGCTTTAACTAGCCTATTAAGAAATTAAGAGAACCTCCCTTGCATCAATGATCGGATAAATGGACTGCGTCTGAATAGTTGCATTCTTGGCTAGAATTTATTTATCCTTGATTTAATTCCTGCTATATTTGTGCTAGTTAATTATTCATTTTTAGTTAAATTGTTTAAGTGTTGTTAATTTCAATTCTGGTGAAATCCCCCCTTACCAATTAAAATTTAAAGGAGGCAAATATCCCCAGTCCCTGAGGAGACGATCCTACTTGCCACTGTCTACTATTCAGTAATTTTTGCCAACTAATTAATTCTGGTATATCGGATTCAGCAAACTCTTCGGGAACGGGGTGAATCAAGTAACCCATTGCACACCTAGAGTCCCTGCTCCAGTACTTAGGATTAATTATTGACTGCTTTTAGTGGTATTTAGTTTTTATTATTATTATTGCACAGGTTCGACGCCCTGTCACTCGGTTATCAAAGAAGAAAGTTTTGAACTATAGTAGCCATTTGTGTTCCACCACTGTGTTATTGCTCTAGGAGTGTTTGAAATTTTGCCGTCTACCTGAGTTAAACGCAACAAAAGAAGTGCTGGGAGCATTTGCAGTTTTTGTATTTGCCCAGAACTTGCCGTCTTTTCATCTCATTTGCGGAAGAAAACTTAAGCCAAAGATGACATCTTACCGTCACAAGTGTATTCATTTTACCACCGTTGTATTCATTTTTGAGTTCGGTTGGTGCTATTTTCTGCTGATTAAAAATAAATGTTGCTCCACCTTGATGAGAGGTTGTATTGGTGGCAACTGAGAGGTGCGAGAGAGAGCTCACTACTGTGTGTATGGTTTTGCATGGTAAAATGTGGCCGCGGGTGGGCGGGGCGCAACAACGTCCCAGTGGTAAAGTAGTGCCAGTTGAGGGTCCGTCTGTTTGCTTGTAAAATAATTTCCCCAAGAAAATCTTTTCGCTAAAAATCATTTTCTTGAAAAATTCGCATTCTAATATAATTATCAGTTGGTATCTCTCTACTACTACTATAGACAATCCATGTTAAACACCACAATCAATTTGAGAGTCAAAAAATGGTAAAAAAAAAAATTCTTTTTAAACCATTCATAGAAAATTCTATGAACAATTGAATAAGATGATGTAACCAACAATACCGTTGATTTAGATTCACTGAAACCTTTTGCAGAAGTTTGGTTTCCATTGGATAAAGTAAAACCTTTTTTCTAGAAAAAAATTTTTTGGACGCTTTTTCAACCAAACATCAGAAAAAAGGGAAAACATTTTTTTGAAAAAATTTTCCATCGATACAAATAGACCCTAAGCAAGCATGTTTTGATAGAAAATTATTTAAAATAATTTTTTTTAAAATCATTATTTTTTTAATATGATGCACGTTAAATAAAAAAATAATTTTGAACTAGTGTCCTAGGATGGAGAAAACTAATTTTTAATATCATTATCTCTAATATTATTTACCTCTTGAACCTTAGCAAATTATCCTCATTGTTACAGATTTAGTTGATCATATCAGTACGCAGCGGCCAGAATCATACTAGTACTCTCAATGTTTCGGGGCATCCCGACAATTATAATAACTTGTAGGATACAACTAGGGCTTTGAGGCCTCACAAGTTCCGGTTCTAATTAGTTGTTTCAATTTAACAATATCGGGTGTAAATTCGTGCAATTTCGATTTTGAATTTTTTATAATCCTAATGTTTTGGGGCAACAATTGTATAGCTTGTAGAATTCAAGTAGGAATTTGGGGCCTCACAAGTTCCAACTCAAACCAATTGTGTCAATCTAATAACATAAGGTATAAACTCATACAATTTCAATTTTGATGTAATAGTGATTTTTATAGAAACTTAGTTGTATAAGTTATAAAAAGAATTCAAATTTTATACCAAAATTGTGTTAGTTTAAACTAGATATTATAAGAATTAAACAACAGACTTGAACTAGACAATAACTCAATTTATGAGACCGTGATCCATTCAACTAATGCTTGTCAAGACAAAATTTGCTCTAAAAAATAAATGTAAACTGTTTACTTATCACTTAATGTAACATACACTCAAATGTATCTTATTTAGTATTTAATAATTCAATAATTTAATGGATTTAGACTTCAAATTTCAGATCTCAGTTTTTGAATTTCAACTTTATCAAACGCATCCTTAGAGTTATTGGGTTCAAATCCCTTTCATCTTCTTTCTCGTTTCTTAAATTCCTCCCTCCCGAATTTAAACGGAAAAAGTTTAAAAAGAAACCTACAAATTTACCTTCAAAATGTGCGTGTGTATGCACACACATATAATCTCTCTCTCTCTCTACAAAAGTCACTTTGCTTCGTTACCAAGATTTTTTTTTTAAAACAAATTTTTTCCACCCACCTGCGAATTCATAGGGAAAAAGAAAGAAATTTCCTCCTATTATCTCCAATCTCCATTGACGCATTGACCGAGGTCAATGACTTGCAAATTGCTTAACCGCTTAATCCTGTATACATCCACACAAGGAAGACCCGAAGATAACAGGTAAACCCAATTAAATTTCCAAGAATAATTTCCTTCACTTCAGCAAAATAAAGGACATTTCTTTGAAGTTGATGATTGCACGCTTTCATCCTCCGGGCTCATTAGTCATTTCCTTTCCCTTTTTTTTTTTTTTTTTCAAGATTGCTTTCCATACCTTTCCTTTCCATAAGTATGAGATTCCCTTCCTCACAAGTTCCAGTTCAAGCCAGGTGTTTCAATCTAACAACATCGGGTGTAAAGTGTAAACAATTTCAAAATTTTAAACTATAAATCACATAGATATAAATAGAGGGACTTATACCAAAAAAAAAAGGAGGTGAAATGAGGATAAGTAAAATTTAAGAGCCAAAATCACACAAGTTTATGACGACAGGGGGTTAACCGCAATATTACCCAACAGAATTTCGAAGAAAACTGCAGGAAATTTCTTCACATTTTACCGCTCTTAACTTCAGAGTTCCCACCTGAAAGTCTTCGCCCTTCGTCTTATGAGTCAACTCGGACTCATGTATTTACTTCATTACACATTCCTGGAGAAATTTTATCTGCGTCTGTTCTTCCAGATTGTCCAGGCGGCACCAGCTTCTCTCAAATCGAGTTCAGTTAATTGTTTCAGGGCAGCATTTGAGGTAATACGACAATTATTGTTTGCGTTTTATGATTTTCGATGAATTTTCTGTGTCTGATTGATTTTGAATTCAAATGTACGAAGAATTTTTTATTTCTAGGTTTCCAAAAAGCATGAATAATTTCAGATTAAGCTGAACATTTTTTTTCTTGCCTTTTGTTTTTGTTGGTTAATTTCTTGTTGGGAATTGATTAGGGGTATTTTTCATTGTAATGGTTCCCTGTCTTGTTTTTGTTGTTGGTTAATTTTACCAATTTTTTAAATGCAAATAATTTGCCTGTTCTTCATTGCAATATTAGGATGACTGTGTTTCAACTGATTGGTAAGGTGAGCAAGTGATTTGAAAGGTTGCATAAAGGAATGAGTGTTGAGCTTTTTCAAACTGGATTCAATCAGCAAGGATTTATGTCATGTGGCATGCCACGTGGAGCATGAAATACCTTCTTGGGTTCAGGCATATACTCAAAACACCTCACTGGCCTTTCTTCTAAACATCCCTGAGATAACAGCTAGCTTGAAGACCGGTACCAATTTTGAAAAAAAATAAATAATAATGATTTTCTTTTTTTTTCACATGACAAAGTGTTGTGGAGTTAACGCAAGGTCACAACTAACATATTCTTCCCATAGCTGAATTTCTAAGAAGTGACGCTTGTGGTTCAATCAGAATTCAGACACCTGCTTGTTCTGTAAATTTTCTTGGTAGATTTGTTATTTTGTATGTGATGATTATACATGATTAGCAGAGATTTTGTTTTTTCCCTGTGAAAAAGTGAGAATGGTGAAAGAGAACACATAGACTGAAAGAGAAGGTAAAGAAATATGAGATGTAGATTGAAATCATAAAAAGAGTCAAGGAGAGGAATATCAAATGACGTGGCGAGTTAGAAATTATTCCATTTATTTTTTACAGTTAAAATCCTTTGGGCTTACAGTGGATTCTGAATCTGAAGAGTCCTGATTTATCCCGACAACTTCAATCAACTTGGCCTATAGGATTTCGAATCCAAACAGTTCAAATACACCTTTCCATGAGGACTGTGTATACATTGTGTCAAAGATACATTACAAGTAAAATCAGTAAAAGTAAAAATGCTATATTAAAATAATCTTTGAACCATAAAACCAGAGATAGCCTAGGAATAATGTCCATGAAGCTTATAATGAATTTATTGTTATCTAGGACTCACTTTTACACTGTCAGCAATTTCATTGAGAGATGTTATGATTTCCATATACAAATTATCTGAAGGCTTATAGGGTCTCAAAAACCTTTGATGTTTGGTCTTTATTCCTGGAAATCCAAGATAATTAAATTTTTTTTTTCCTGGCAGGGAACATGGCGAATAAACTTATAGACCTTGGTTTGGGACCAGTACATGGTTACATTTCCCTTGAGAAGAAGATGCAACATGTTCAAAAAGAACTTGATCATTTGGCGTGTCGATCAGGTGATATGATCACGAGAGTACGAGGTGCACACTCACACCAGCAAAAGAAAAGGAAGAGGGCAGTTGAAGAGTTGTTTAAGGTAGTTGAGGATATAAAAATAGAATTTGAATGCCTCAAAGAGCAAGCCCAGCAAACTAGCTTTTATAATATTTATGCACGTTGGAAGATGGTGCAACATGTTGATAAAATGATTAAGGAACTTACAAAGCAGGGTGCATCTCTGGAGAAGATTTTGCCTGGTGGGCTGCTAGTAGAAACAGAGTGGCAAGGCCGAACAATTGAAATAAATATGAAAGAAATCTGGGCTTGGCTTTTGAACGATGGGATCTCAAGTGTTGGAATATATGGTATGGGAGGGGTGGGCAAAACAACTTTAGCAAAACGTATCTATGAGGATTTCGTCATTGGAACTAAATTCGCTGATAGAGTTTACTGGGTTGCTGACCCACAAGAGGGCAGCATCCATAAATTACAGGACAGTGTTGCCAAAGCCGTAAATGTGGATCTCTCAAATGAGGAAGATGAGAGGAAACGAGCAGCCAAATTGTTCATAGCATTGAGCAGAATGGAAGATTTTGTGATCATATTGGATGATGTTTGGATCCCATTTGACATAAATAAAATTGGAATTCCTTTAGGCTTAGATGGAAGCAAGTTGATAGTAACCAGTCGATCATTAGAAGTGTGTCGTCAAGTAGGTTGCCAAAAGGAAATAAAAGTCGAACCTCTTTGCGAGAAAGAAGCTTGGACATTGTTTCTGGAGAAACTTTGTCCTCCACATGAACTTCCTTTGGATGTAAAGGAGATCGCGAAGTCTATGGTGCAAAGATGCGGTGGTCTGCCGCTCGGGATTATCACCATTGCTGGACGGATGAAGGGAGTGCATGGCATTCATGAGTGGAGGGAAGTCTTAGAAGAGTTGGAAGGATCTTTTGTTGGGCAAAATGACAATCTCTTTGATATCTTGCATCTCTCTTTTAATCACTTGAGAGATCGGAGATTGAAGGAATGCTTCTTGTATTGCTCTTTCTACCCTGAAAACTACAAAATTCCAAGGGATGAATTGATAAGATTGTTGATTTTGGAAGGACTCATGGATAAAAGAAGATCGAGGCTATCGTTATTTGACCAGGGCCATGTGATACTGAAAAGACTTGAAAGGATGTGCTTATTGGAAAGTAATGATAGAGAAATTGAATGTGTCAAGATGCATTGTTTGATACGAGATGTGGCACTAAGGATAATAGACTCTGACAGTAAGTATATGGTAAAATCTGGAAGATGCTTGCAATGCATACCAGATGAGATTGAGTGGAAAGAGGATTTGGAAAAGGTCTCATTGATAGATAACAACATATCATTAATTCCGTCAGGCATATCACCTAAGTGCCCTAAACTTTCAAGCTTGATTTTGGCGAGTAATCATTTAAGATCGATTCCTGATTCATTCTTTTCTCATTTGAGAGCCCTCCGAGTTCTGGATTTAAGCCGCAACTATGACCTTGAAGTGCTGCCAAACAGTGTTTCACAATTGAGTAACCTTATTGCACTGTTGCTATCTGAATGTTACAGACTCAGTTTTGTACCGCCACTAGGGGGGCTCAAGGCATTGAAGGAATTAGATCTATATCATACTGCTATTAAGAATGTGCCTGAAGGCTTGGAAAGATTGGTCAATCTGAACTGCCTAAACATTGATAGTACAGGATTAAGGACGATTCCAGATGGTACAATATGCAAACTCTCCCGTCTTCAAAGCCTCCGGATTCCAGAAGATGTGGAAGTCAGAGTAGAAGAACTAAAAGCATTGAAACATCTAGAAGAATTTCAAGGTGGATTTTATGATATGGATACTCTTTGTCATTTTGTTCGATATCGCCAGAGCTACGAAACTCCCATTTTTTATACTATTGAAGTGAGCCCAAGTCTAAGCCTGTTATGGTTTCCATCTCCAGTTCCATGCCAAATAAATAACAATGTGACACTTAGTGGCATAGATCTAGGAGGAGGAAAGAGTGCCATAGTGCTGCCAGAGGACATTCAACAACTAGCTCTAATAAATTGTCATGGGCTAAGCGCCTGCTTAACCACTGCTTTCTCATCGTTCAATATTCAAAGAAGAGGCTTGACTCTGTGTTTAATTGACAATTGTCCTGAACTGGAATGCATCATGAAGGTGTCTTCTTCTGAAGACCAACTAGTTGGAGAGATGATTTTATCTCCTTGGGCCCCACTGGAAAGCCTTGAGCATTTGAGTCTCCATTTGTTGCCAAATTTTGTTGGACTCTTCAAATGGGAAATTGAATTTGACCCTCCATGTAGGATTTTTTGCCATCTAAAATCAATTACCATCAGCAGGTGCAATACAATGACAACAATATTCACACCATGTTTGCTGCAACACCTTCAAAATCTGGAAGTGGTTGAATTGCTGTTTTGTGATCGATTGGAAGAGATAATAGCTGACAAGGAAGGGGGCAAAGTACGTTCCAGTCTAAGTAACGGTGACCAACACTCTCTTAAAACCTTTGTCAACTTCCCAAGGCTTAAAAAGTTGACTTTACAACATCTGCCAAAACTAAGGAGCATCTGTGAGGGAATAATAATCTGTGATTCCATTGAGAATATTAGGGTAATAGGGTGTAAAAATCTTGCAAGGATGCCTCTGTCCTTTTCCAGCATTGATGGACAACCAAATCCCTCCCCGCCCCTTAGAGCTGTTGAAATCTTGAATGAAGAGCTTGAGTGGTGGAAGTTGTTGCAATGGAAAGATCCTGGTTCAGGGAGTGTCATACAACCTTTTGTTCAATTTGTTGCTGAATCTCCAGTAGTTTAATCAATGTCCCCTTCAATCCTCAAGTAAGTCCGTCTTTTCCTTCTCAATTATTCCCCATCTTCCTCAATTACACAACTCCCTATTTGCACTACCAACACTTGTCTGAGATTATCCAACATGATGTTAAAGACGTGAAACACAACTATGTTGCTTTTTCTTTCAATACTGTCAAATTCTGTTTTGTTTGATCTTATAGGTGAAGTAGTGTTTGATGATGATCTGCTAGCTAGATATCAGGGAGATTCTTGCACTGATATGACCATGGCCATTAGTTTTCATTCTTTACCAAATTCTATTTGTATCTCCATCCGTCCTGCCTATGTCCTTCAGAATCAGGGGCAGTACTGGTTTGGCTCTCATTTCTGCTTTTGCTGTAAATCTTGTTCTGCTTTTAACAACCAAATGCATGTTCTTTGCTATAGGTAATAGCAGTAATTATCTATTTCGGGTCATTGACTTATGTGCACTTTACTACTTTGGCTAGTTCCTTGTGGCTGATATGGTGAAAATATCTAGTGTTCATCTGCGCATTCTCAATTTTCTTATTTTTGCTTCCTTTAGCAATAATTTGCTTGTTCCATCCTTTTTGTACAAGGCACAGGTTGAGTATTTGGTAGAAAAAAAATGCAAGAAATCTATCCATCACTGGAGAATGCAAATTGAGAAACTAGAGGAGCAACCTTTATATTTCTATATTGGCAATTTGGGCTTGGAATAAATGGGTTTCTAGTCTCAAGCATAGTTGTCAAAATCGCGATCCGGATCGTAGGATCGTACGATCCTACGATCCGGATAATCAAAATCGATCCGGATCGTATGCAGAGTCGCAAATCATATTAATTTTTTGCAGGATCGCATAGAATCGTAGCAGGATCGTATAGGATCGTGTAGGATCGTGTAGGATCGTAGGATCGTAGAATCGGTAGGATCGTACGATCCTACAATTTTTTTGTAAATTTGTGAAATATGAAGCTCCATTTTGCAAATAAATGAAAATATTTGTGGTATATTTGTAATTTATCAAAGAATTGCAACCTTTAATTGCAATTAAGAGCTTTTGGTAGGATCTTACGATTCTACGATCCGATCCTGTGAAACTAAAATCGATCCTATGTAGGATCCCGATTTTACAAACCTTGGTCTCAAGTGGCTACTTTTACCATATCTGTCATTGATAGGAAAGAAGTAGTCAATTGATTATAACATTCTTGGGGTACTCAAATAAATTCTTGCAAAATAATGGTCTTGAAAGCGTCCTTATATTTCTTCTTATGATTGACATATTTAGACCAATTAGGCAAAGTTTGGAATTTCATTTAGAATTCTCTCTCATGATGGTCGGTTGACTCAGAGGCCTTCGTTTCCAGACAATCCATGACAGTCACAGCTATTCTGTGTTATTAATATTCACAAATTGGGGATACTAGGATATATGGGATCCACTTACCAAGAAAAGGAGAAGATATGTAAGATCTCCAGCAGACTGGCTGGTGCTCTGGCAATTCTTCCTGATTTGACTTTGAATAAGCCTCTGACCTCATTTTCGCTGTGGCATCACCAAATATTCTAGCTGATGCTCAAGATCTTTTACTTAATATCTATAAACATGTTGAGAACCCCTTGAATTTCTAGCAGTTTTCATGGCTTCTTTTTTGGTTTGGCTCTTTTGAATCCCAAACTTCCAATTAGATTAATAATTCCTAATTACTAGTTTATAGTGTTCTTCCCCTTTTCTTTGCTTGCTTGCATCAGTGCTACCCCGTCTTGGGGTGAGATCTTAGGTGACATCTGTTTATTTTCCTGTGTTTTCTTGCTTTAATCTTTGACCATATGATTTCCTGTGTTTTCTTGCTTTAATCTTTGACCATACGATTATAGCTTTGCAGCACAGCAGCTGTTGTTGCTGGGAAGTGCATGAGGAGAATACTTGGAGCCTCTTTTGTGTTCATCCGCAGTTGGAAATAAAGTTTGTTATTATCTTAGATTTCCTTGGAATATGCTCCAGTACCTCTCAACCACACCCAGGTTTCGCTTCTCTCAGGAAGCGAGCCTAATATAGAGCTGAACCAGCATTTGCTGGAAGCCAACTTGGATATGCCATCTAAGCAATTAAGAGCTATGGATTGTTGATCTGCCTTTTGGGCACTAATTTCTCAACTCTCATTGGCTTTCGAATGTGTTGAGTTTGAACTTTCCTATACTTAAGAATTTATCCAGTTGCCTTGAAACATAATCCAACTTGTTTCAGCGGACACCAAAGCAGTGGCTTTTGGAGAAACAAATTGGACGGGTTGGACGGGTTGGACACAAACACGTACACCATGAAGAATTGGTCCAACAAGTCCCAAGCAAATTAAAGTTGTCTTTCATAGTGGAATATCCTGTCATCGATAAAGAATTTCTGGGATGGAATTTCTGGGTGTGACTATCGGCCATTGTAAAGCAGACAAATCTCATACAACCAAATAGGACTTTATTCATACAATCCGTTTTCTTTCCTGTCGCTATTCTTGATTTGGGTAAGAGTCCATAAATCCAAACATTTATAAGAAAATTTGAGTGAGAAAATTTGAGTGAGACTTGGTACATGACAGTCCCCACTGCATCTAGGGCAATTTGGATCAAGGACCAAGTATTAATGCCTTTGACTCGTGAAGAGTTGAAAATAATAAGAAGCTAAAGGAAATTCCTTTGTGTAAATTGTGGGCTTTGGAATCTTTTGACCCCTCTGGGAAGGATCAAAGGAGTAATCATGATGCAAAAATTGTTTGGATTGTATTTTTGAGAATAAGAAAACTTACATAAATCTGAAGATTTTGCCTTCCATGATTCCAATCATCAGCTGTGCTCTAAACATCTGTCCGCCGGAAAGGTTGTCTAGTATTTGAACTTCATATAGATGTCTGGTTTCCCTCTATAGAAGAATGGCCATATCCCACTTATGGAAGTGTATGGCATTTAGTTTTATTTGTCCCTTTCTTCTCCTCAGTAAAACCAAATGACGGTCTAGCATTATTAAGTTCCAATTCTTGCTTTAGAGGTTTTTTTTTTTTTTTTTTTTTGATAAATACTTGCTTTAGAGGTTTGTGTCAATTTTAAAGGTTAAAATGACAGTTAATAAGTAACAGTTCTTTATGGTACAAGAAGTGGAAATGAATGACAAAGTTTTCAGCACCAGGGCATCTGTGGCTGTAGAAACCCCCACTCCCCCCCTCCCCACCAAAACATATAGCACAAAACACTTCCCTATATTACTATTTGGCTAGAAATGTCAAGTTCTTTCAAGCATGTTCTTACAGTTACGTGGAGTGGCTTTCTTGGAAATCCATCTTAAAGCCCCCACAGCTCAACCAGCATATTAGATGCCATTTCCAGTTTCCCTACTGAACCCTTTTATCCATTCCCCAAAGCGATCCGTCTTGAGTCTATGAGCTCTAGCAGGGCCTTAAGCTTCCATTGGATGCTCTGTCAGTGTTTAGCGTCTGGAGTAGCATGTGTATCTCATGTGTTGCTCTGGTTGCGGATTGTCTTCCCAGTGGTTATCTTTGTCCTCACCTCTTCAAGCCTTTGGCACTTTTGTCATGTGTTCTCAGAGATAATACCATATGTTGATAGCAAAAAACACCAGCAAGGACTTCATATCTTGTACTGGTCTTCTTCGATTTCTCCTTGCTATTGATGTGCGGCCTCCTAGTCTACAATTTCTCTGGTCTAGTAGTGAAATGCTGGGCCATAACCCTTGCTTAATCTCTGATTCAGGTTAGAACATGAAAAAAGAAAAAGAGCTTCCATTCTAAAGAGAAAATAAAATCTAATCTATTCAAAGATCTTGATCCATTCAACATGATTAACATGTGACTTCATAGTTTGGTTTCAAAGGGTTTAGTCATTTGATTGTATTACTGATTAAAATCAGGAATGCTATTGCAAAATGATGTGGATTCGTGTTTTTTAAGGGTTTGTTTTAAGAACTTTACTGCAGATGTGTCTGTGAAAAACTTTTCTTGATTTGGTGCATTTTGAGGCGTTTTTTGCATCTTCCAAGTTCTTTGCCCCAAGTTTGGCTTCTTTCTCATGTGTTTTTGTTGGGTATAAATTTGTTTGTTTTAGAATGAGTTCCAACTTTCAATTGCTTAATTTGGCATGCATAAACATGATTCAAAAGGCAAAATTGGTGGATAGTAAAAAGACAAAAAGAAAAAGAGTATTTGGATCTCTATATATTTACTTTCAACTACTCAGTTGGGGTGTTTACCAGCGGGAGGCAGAAGGGAAGAAAAGCGAGTCACCGGAATTCAAGAAGCTTGGGAAGAGATCCCGACAAACAGAGAAACAGGAAAGCTTCGACAAGGTCGAAAGAGCAAATTTCTGGCTTCTGAGTTGAACCTCCAACAACGTTTTCGCTTGTCCAAGTCCAACCGATTAACAGCAGCATGGTCACTGGGATATGGCATTCTGTTGGTATGTCTATTAATTTGCACAAAGTTTGTCACTTCCAACTCAAACATTAGTATTCATTGTCTCTACTTTGGGAGAAAAAAAAAAAAAGAGTAATACTATACCTAAAAGCAGAGCAATTTTGGCACTGCCCCATTCGTTAATGGTACCATCTCAACTCAAACAATACTCCCTACTTCCATTGCAATTAGACTTCATTCCTAGTCCTACAAAAGAAAAATGCAGGAAAATAATGATGATGTTTTACCATGTAGGTTGGATCACTCTTCATTATCTCAGTGGCCATGTCTCTCATCAAAGGATGCATCTTCAAGCAATCCACTCCATCATTCACAACACGATCCAGTAAACAAGCCTTCTCGAGTGCTTTGAGTATGGTATGACCCTGATCAAGCTTTGCTTCTCTGCATCTTCTATCTAGAAATCCTTCCGAGATGAGCCCTCTAACTACTTCATCCCTTGGAACTGTTTCATCTTTCAAGAGGATAGAGCAATGCAAGAAGCTGGTCTTCCACCTTTCATTTCTCAAGCCATAAAAACTGCTTTTCATTACCTCAAAAACCGCATCATCTGGTCGTTCTTCCATCTCTGCCAATGCATCTCTCCACTGGCGAATGTCATTAGCCCCTATCATGCTTCTCGCCTTAGCGATGATCCCAAGAGGCAAACCTCCGTACTTTTCTGAAATAGACCTGGAAATCTCTTGGACATCCGGTAGGAGCTCTTGGTCCCTACTACGAAGTTTCTCCATAAACAGCATCCGACCTTCATCAGCAGAAAGAGGTTGCACCTTAATTTCCTTTTGGCATCCCGTTCTGTGGCATACATCCAATGATCGACTAACCACAATCAACTTCCTCCCTTCTTTTCCTAGAGGAATTCCTATCGTTCCGACATCAATAGGCGTCAATAAACCGTCGAGTATGATCACAAACTTGTTCTTCCTCTCTAATGCCGAGGCTAATTTGGCTGCCCTCCTATCATCACCGGCATCCATATTTGGGAGATCGAGATGCAAGACTGTCGCCAAGTCGTCCTGCAATTTGGAGACTTCAGAATTAGCATCACTGAACCAATATACATGCTTCAAAAATTTGTCTTCTTTTAATAGCTCGTTATGGATATGACTTGCTACAGCCGTCTTGCCTACTCCAGGCATACCATAGATTCCAATGCATGAAACCTTGTCATCCATTAACAAAGCCCGTGTGTCTGTCAAATTTTGTTGAACTGATTGGCCTATCAGCTCTTCTGTTACCAGGGGCTTGCTCTCCTCATGGACAGTAATCATATAGCCACCGCAAAATGACCCTTGTTCAAGAAGATCTGATGCCTCCTGAATCATTGCATCAACGTACCGTGCCAATGAAATACGCGAAGGAAATGGTCTCCTCTGGTAATCTCTTTTCAGGCCTTGGTATTTCATTTTCTTTCTTTTTACATTTTTCAACCAATCCCCAACTTCCCTCTTTCTTTTATATCCTGAATGTAGGTCTTGCTCATGTCTTATTGTCATGTGTATGTCACGTGCTTTTTTGGTCAGCACACGAATTCTTCTTTCTAGAGTCTTCATCTTTGCGTCAAGGCCTGAGTGACTGCGCATCCACTCTATGCCAAGATTTGCTACAATTCCCAGAAACACGTTCAAAACTGTCTTGAGCATTTTTCTGACAACGAAGCAGAACAAAATGACATTTTATTTCATGTCACCAAAATGAATGGAAATTTGGGCCACAAAAGCAGTACATGTGATCTATAGAGACAATGAACAATAATGAGAGTGAACAGATAGATAACTACGGTGATATGTTTGTTCATTTGAAAGAAGATGATTATCAGCTGCCCTGAACATTACAACGGTAACACAAGAATAATTAGTCTCATTTTAGGTAGAGTAGTATCCACAGTTGCAGATGCAATTGTAGATGTCCCTCTTGAGAACAAGTGGATTAGGCAGCCCAAACAGAGGCGGAAACTGCTACTTCAAACATTCCAAGTGCATGCATGTAAATACAACTTCTAATTCCTAAAATCTGAACCTTTAACCAATAAACCAAAGCCTCCTTGGCTCACTTTGTCCCATATTTAATTTCCTTGGAGAAATTGCCATAGAACACTCACCTTTTCTAGTGTTTTCCGTCTAATATCCTATGCCACTTTCTTTGCCTTTTCTTATGCCATTTCCTCTTTTTTTAAGCACCCCCATTTCAGTTAATTTGTGCCAGGAATTTACCCAGTTTAATCTTTCTTTACCTATACCCCTAAATTATTTGTATCTTTTTTCCCTCAATTTTCATAGTATTATCTCTTTCTATCATGCAAATGGACTCTCAATCTGAAAGTTGTTTATGCTGTTCCAATCTACATCCAGGTAGATATGGTTTTGCACTGAGTTAACTCAAGGACATACAAAATGTAAGAGTTTGCAGGGGAAGAAGGTGAGAGGTTGGGGGAGGTGGGGAGGAGGAGATGGGCCGAGGGTGAAAGGGAAAGGGGAAGGGATAGCGAGGGTCGATGGGGACTAAGAGTGCAAACAAATCAAGTCCAATTGAATCTAGATTTTGATCTAATTGAACCGAGTCTCAACCTAAGTTTATGAAGTTCGAATTCGACGAGTTCAAAATGTAAAGCTTGAGTTTGAGCTCAACTCAAATTCGAGTCGAGCTAGAGTTTAAAAAAATAAAATAAATAATTATTTTATTTTTAAAAATAAATAATAATAATAATAATAATGATTTTTCTTAACAAATAATAAAATTTTAGGGATATATATGTAATTTTACTGTTAAAATAAAAAATAAAAAAAATATATTAAAATAAAATATATATATATATATATGTATAATTGAACTCGAACCGACTCGCGAACTAACGAATTTAGTATTTTTGAACTTGATTTCGAATTCGAATTTGACTTAGTCAGCTCGAGTTTGATGTTGACCGAGTTCAGTTGAGCTCGGACTCGAGCCGCTCGATTCGTTTGCCACCCTAATGAGGACGCGCGGCAGAGACCATTCCTGAATAGTGTAACATTGTAACTCTTTGTAAATTTCTTGTACATCCTTATAATAGATGTATGATATTTTATTACTATTCATGTGGGTCTCATATGTAATAATTGTGTCTCTATTGTTAGATCTTACAAGTAGTTCAAGTAGAGTTATACTTTATTCCAAAAATATTATATTGTTCCGAACGGTTATTACTCAAAATCGTCCAGATCCCGTATCCAGCGGTGCAAAGGATGGTGAGGGAAGGGCGAGGAATGGAGGGGGCAACAGTATGACACCTTCAAAAACACTTTTAAACACCAATTTTTAAGGATAATTTCAAAAATCTCCTTTGAAGTTTTCTCACCATAACGCTGCCCTCTTCTCAAGTTTAAAAAAATATAACCTATCTTCTTTGTCAGCCAATTATGGCCTAATACTAACATCAATAGTGATGAAATGATTCTTATACCCTACCTTTGATTGAGATATATATTTTGAATTAATTACAGATTGCACCGATATAAATAGGAGTATGTAGCAATTTTCTTCATATTTTTAAAAAATATAAAAATTTCCTTGCGATAACTAGCACCACTAACCTTCTGATGATTCTCCACTTATAATATCTTGGATAAATATGCCCCCGTTGTTTTATGCTCTTCTTTTTTAACGCAAACCTCGTATACAGGGCCAATCCAAATTTTATTAATGCAAACTAAAATAGAAGTGATGGATTGGAGAGAGACAAAAAGCTAACTTCCAGTACATATGGAAAAACGAGAACATTACTCTCTCTTGACCTTTTCTAAACTGAAGTCTAGAAATTCGGCTTTTATAAACCTAATCCCAGAAGAAACCTCAAAAGCCGGCAACTCTTGAGGTCCTTCCAGGGACTTATAAACCAAACCCAAACCCCCCCCAGAACCGATGTGGGATGGCAAACCCCACAAGGGCAAGCCAGTAAGGCCGCTGCTGCTAAGAAGTAAAGACCCCTCACGACACTCAGTAAACTACCCTTGCATGAATTTGCCTCTTGACCTTTTCTAAACTGAAGTCTAGAAATTCGGCTTTTATAAACCTAATCCCAGAAGAAACCTCAAAAGCCGGCAACTCTTGAGGTCCTTCCAGGGACTTATAAACCAAACCCAAACCCCCCCCCCCCCGGAACCGATGTGGGATGGCAAACCCCACAAGGGCAGAGAACATTACTCAGTCACATGCATAATGGAAATCTAACCTTATCTAAACTACAAGAGTGGCGTGTAGCCTAGATGGATCTGTGGTCAGGAGTCCGGTCGTCAGCCAAGTATAGTGAAGTCAAATATCAGCAGCCGTGCTAGGACCATCAAGTTGCACCAGTTGGAGTCCAACTTTGAGTACTAAAACCTTGCACAAATGCCAAGTAGAAATATCAATTAAATGAATAAGCGAAACCAACATCTTTAAAGTTAATCTTATACGTATTGGCGGCAGTGTACACACTATCATAATTAGATGTATGATACATATGTAAAATTTAAATTTCGAATTTAAATTTATATTATATATCATGCATCTAATGATAAAAGTATATACACTTTCAGTATATAGAAGATTAATCTAAAACTTTATATGTTTTTTTCTTTTAAGTTTCACTCTGTTTATAAGTTTTAACTTTCATACTCTTTTTCTTATAAGTTTGGTAAAACCTTTTTCTTCTTCCTTTTTTTTGATGTTGCCAATGCATTTTATTTTATATTTGTATGTATATATTCAAATAAAATTTTGATTTGAATTAGCATTTTCTCTCATTTATAGTGTAGTTTATGTGATTTCGACATTTGTTAACAATTAATTTATCATTGGTATAGTTCTTGTTCAAAACAAATTACTAATTTCTTGGCAAAGCATTAATTGTTAATAAAATGCAAAGTTAGAAAAGTTAATTCTAGTAATCAATTCTAACAACTAGGAATCACTAATAAAAAAAGAAAATTGCTAAAACTTTTATGCTTTTCTTATATGAATTTATAATAAGTATATATTCTCCTTGAAAAAAATAAGAATATATATATTTAAGCATTGAAGAAAAATGTTATTAAGAATTAAAAAGATAAAGACAATAATAAATAAAAATTGAGCGGAGAATAAAGGATAAGGTTTCTATATTTTGTGAGTATTTTGGTCAAGAAACGTGAAAGAAGAGGTAACATACCTTTTTAGAAAATTCTGGTGGGCAAAGTAAATGAACTGCTTGTTGTGACAAAGATATGCAAACTACAAGAAGCTGCAAACAGTGCAATAACAGAACCAAAAGGGGTTGTCTTTTTACCCTAAAACTACTGAACCAAATAGCCAAGAAACCTGTCAGAGAATAATGGAACAAAGATGTGATATGATTAGGAGTACTCAACAGCATTAGCTAGAGAACAACGAAGGTAGAAGAAGGGAGTCTTTCACCGGGATATGATGAAAGAGGGAGGAGGAGAATGAGGCGTTAGGAGTTGTATTGTATGTTCTTTTTCCAAAAGTTGTAATGGTTTTTTGGTTTATAGACACAGCACTGAAAAGAGGAGGAAAATGATCAGAAGCTCTCTTGGAGATTTACTTTTGGTCTAGGGATACATGGTCTCAGCATGAGGCATCATCATGCAAACATGAAAATTGGAAACACGTAGTTATGGAAAGTGATTGAAAAAAATTCAGATAATTTTCTTCCTGCTATTGAATTCTTGCCATGCTTTCTACCAAAAAAAAAAAAAGGAAATTAAAATCTTATTATGTGCTTCAAGTGGATCAATATATATTTTGTACTTTGTATTAATCTAAAACATGCAATGCCCCCGAGGCTTAGTCTGGTGGCATGGGGTTGCTGAAGACGGGGCTTGGTCTCTAGTTCGAGCCTCGTTGCCAGCAAGTTACGGGAGACAGAGAATTTAGTCTGCGGGATCCACTCCTTGCAGGGATACCTAAAAAAAAATCTAAAACATACAATGACAAGTTACTACGTTTGGCTAGTATAGTTTTAATTTTTCATAACTACACAAATAATCACAAATCAAACTTGCTAATCATGATATTTTTCTTTTCTAGTTGAATCTTGGTTGCATCACCAAATGATTTACTAATAATGTCAGAAGAATTTATCTGCACTAGGCATTTGACAGGACTCTTCTGTTGGTTAAAAAGGACGGTTTAATTATTGGCTACCCCAAGTCCAAGTTCAGAATTAAGAAGAATAAGTACAAGTGTCTGTGGTGTGCTGCCTATAAAAAGCTACCTACTGTGAGTAGTGGAAAAAGGTCAAGCTTGAAGCCTTCAACTGCATTATTATTGTAATAATTTGTAAATGCTGCACCTTGGGCCACCTCATTAAACAGGTTTTACCTTGTTTAAAAGCGCCAATAAATTGATTTTCAAAATGTACATCACACACACACAGATGTACCTACGTTGAGAAGGCTTTGGTCTAATTGCTAAACTTGAGACCTAAGGTCCTGTTTAATAACCAAATTTAATACTTAAATTTAATGAGCTAAAATCTTAATATGTTTAGATGTGTTTGATAACCAGGAATATCTGAATTAATTAAGTGCAATGAATTTTTTAGGCTAAATTTGCTTCAAAAAATAAGTGATAAGCAGTTCACTTAACATTTAATGTGATATACGCTCAATGTATCAAATTTAACCTCTGTTTGATAATCCAATTCAGCACTTAAATTTAATAGATTCGGATCTTAACTTGTTCAGGCACGTTTGATAACAAAAAATTGAACATTTGAATTAATTAAGTGGCATTGAATTGTTAAGGCAAAACTTACTCCTAAAAATAGGTGATAAGTTATTCACTTAGCACTTAATATGATATACACTCGAATGTATCAGATTTAGTGCTTAAAAATCAATAACTTAATATATTCATATTTCAGTTTTATCAAATGCACATCTTAATACTTAATAATTTAGTAATTTAATGGATTCATATTTCAAATTTCAGTTTTCAAACTTCAACTTTATTAAACGTATCCTTAGAGTTCTTGGGTTCAAATCGCTTTCATCCTTCTTGTTTCTTAGATCCCTCCCTCCCCATTTTTTTTTTAAAAAACAGTTTATCTTCAAATTTATCTTCAAAATGTGTGTGTGTACACACATAATCTCTCTCTCTCTCTCTCTGCACAAAAGTCACTTTGCTTTGTTACCCAGATTCTTTTTTACAAATTTTTTCCCTTTGGTACTAAGACCCACCCTCCTAGGAATTCATAGGGAAAAAGAAAGAAATTTCCTCCTATTATCTCCAATCTCAATTGACGACCGAGGTCAATGACTGAAATTTGCTAATTGCTTAACCGCGTAATCCTGCATACTTTTCTACACAAGGAAGGCCCGAAGATAACAGGTAAATCCGATTAAATTTCCAAGAAAAATTTCCTTCACTCCAGCAAAATAAAGGACATTTCTTTGAAGTTGCTAATTGCATGCTTTCATCCTCCGGGCACATTAGTCATTTTGGTCCACCTGACATGCACGTGACATCTGCTATCGTGTACCTTTCCTTTCCTTTTTTTTTTTCCCCAAGATTGCTATCTTTTTTTCCATTTGGATTTGGTGGTTTGTTTGGATTGTAAGTTATTTGAGATATTTTTTCTGTAACACTTTTTGTGATGTGATGTATGTGAGATAAAAAGGTAATTGGGAAGATAAAAAAGTGTATTGGAAACTGTAATGATGATGTAAGCAAATACATTTGGGAAAATAATCAGCTAATGTTTTCAGGGCATCCCGACAATTATAATAACTTGCAAAATTCAACTAGGGTTTGGGGTCTCACAAGTTTTAGTTCAATCTAGATGTTTCAATCTGGCAATATCGAGTGTAAATAGTTCTTGTTTCAATCTAACAACATCAAGTGTAAATAGTTCTAGTTCAAACTAGTTGTTTCAATCAAACAATATCGAGTGTAAATTTGTGCAATTTCGATGTAAGTTAGTTGTATAAGTTACAAACTTAAATTTTATACCAAAATTGTGGTCAATTTACATCACAAGTTTCAGTTCAAACCAATTGTTTCAAGCTAACAATATCGGGCGTAGTAAATTCGTGCAATTTCGATGTAATTGTAATTTTTGTAGAAACTTTAGTTGTATAAGTTACAAACTCAAATTTTATACAAAAAGTTGTGTCAATTTAGATCACATGTTTTCTTCCTGCTATTGAATTCTTGCCATGTTTTCTACCCCAGAAGCAAAAAAGAAAATTAAAATCCTATAATGTGCTTCAAGTGGATCAATATATATTTTGTACTTTGTATTAATCTAAAACATACAAATGACTGTTACTACGTTTGGCTAGCAGAGTTTACTTTTTCATTTTTTTTAACTACACAAAATAATCACAAATCAAACTTGCTAATCATGATAATTATCTTTTCTGGTTGAATCTTGGTCGCATCACCGAATGATTTACTAATAATGTCAGAAGAATTTATCTGCAATATATAGGCACTGGACAAGACTCTTCAGTCGGTTAGAAAAAGCACAAGGCCGTTAAAACCGGTTGAATTTTTCTTTTTTTTTGAGTTGCGGTTGAATTATTGGCTGTCCCAAGTCCAAGTCCAGAATTAAGTACAAGTATCTGTACTGTGCTGCATATTAAACTTATATATATAGTAGATCAATGAAAATAAGAGGATTTATGATCGTCCGTTTGGATTGTATTTTCCATCATTTTTTATGAAAAAATTACTGTACCGATTTGATATATGTGAGGGGAAAAGATAATAGGAAAATGTGATCACAGAAAACGATGCAATTTTCTGGCAGAAAATGGCAATCCAAATGTTGTATATATATATATATTCTGGTATGAGTGTTATAAATATTTGTTACAAACTTGTATCACCAGATTAACATACATACTGTGATTAGTGGAAAAGGGTCAAGCTTGAACTGCATTATTATTGTAATAATTTGTAAATACTGCATCTTAGGGGCCACCTCTTTAAGCAGGTTATTATACCTTGTTTAAAAAGTGATCTACTACAAATTGATCTTCAAAATGTACGTCACACACACACACACACACACACACACAAAAGTACTTGCGTTAAGAAGGTCTTGGTCTAATTGATAAAGTTGAGACTCCCAAACTTAGAGCTCTTCAATTCAAATCTCCCTTCATCCTCTCTCTTTCTTAAATCTCTGCCTCCGTAACTTGGAGAAAAAAATTTCAATAGAAATCTACAAATTTATCCTCAAAATGTACATTACACACACACACACATGCACATATACACAAACACATATATGTATGTGTGTGTATACATATATATATACATGTGTATGTGTGTGTGTATATAGACACACACTCTACAAAAGTCAACTTGCTTTGCTACCAAGATTCTTTTTTACAATTTTTTTTTCCCTTTGGTACTAAGACCCACCTTCCTAGGAATTTACAGGGAAAATGAGAGCAAATTTCCTCCTATCATCTCCAATCTCCATCGACGCATTGACCAAGGTCAATGACCGAAAGTCACAAATTGCTTAACCGCGTAATCTGTACACTTCTACACGGCGAAGACCGGAAGACGACCCGTAAATCCAATTGAATTTACAAGAATAATTTCCTGAAGTGAAGGACATTTCTTTGAAGTTGCTAATTGCATGCTTTCACCCTCCAGGCTCATTAGTCATTTGGTCCACATAGCATGCACGTGACATTGCTATGTGCAAGATTGCACGTGACATTGCTGAGGGATTTGAGGCCTCACAAGTTCTATCTCAAACCAGTTGTTTCAATCTAACAACATTGGGCATAAATTCGTACAATCTCAATGTAATTGTAATTTTTGTAGAAACTTAGACGAATGAGTTACAATGTCAAATTTTACACCAAAAACTATGTCAATTTACATCGCATGTTGTAAAAATTACACGACCGATTTGAACTAGACAATAAATCAGCTTGTGAGATTCCGGATCCATTCAACTAATTGCAGGCTTTCACCATCCAGGCTTATTAGTCATTTTGGTCCACATGGCATGCACATGACATCTGCTATGGTGTTCTACCTTTCCTTTCCTTTTTTTTTCCAAGATTGCTATCTTTTTTTCCATTTGGATTTTGGATTTTTATACTCCCAATGTTTTAGGGCATCCCGACAATAATAATAACTTGTAGAATTCAATGACGGATTTGAGGCCTCACAAGTTCTATCTCAAACCAGTTGTTTCAATCTAACAACATCGGTGTAAATTCGTACATTTTCAATGTAATTATAATTTTTGTAGAAATTTAGATGTATAAGTTACAAATTCAAATTTTATACCAAAAACTATGTCAATTTACATGACATGTAAGAATTACACAACTGATTTGAACTGGACAATAACTCAACTTGTGAGCTCTACATCCATTCAACCAGTGCTTGCGTCTTAAGCATCTAGACTCCTAAAGATTTTTTTTCTAAGCTTATAATATAATATTGATAGTTGTTGAACCATTTATCAATTTTTCAACAGCACTAAATTATCAATTAGTGACGTTGCAAATAGAAATTGGATGGTGAAATAAGTGTTTTTGACTCTTAGATTGTAATAATTTTAAAATTATAAATTATAAATCACTAAGATATATATTGAGGGACTGATACCCAAAAAGGACCGCAAAATTTTCCTACTTTTTGTGCCTCAAGTCAAGGTTTAAAAAAGGGCAAAAAGAAAAAAAAAAAAAGAAAGAGAGGTGAATTGATGATAAGTAAAATTTAAGAGGCAAAATCACACAAGCTTATAACAACAGGGGGTTAACGGCAATATTACCCTACAGAATTTCGAAGAAAACTGCAGGAAATTTCTTCACATTTTACCGCTATTGACTTCCAAGTTCCCACCTGAAAGTCTTGGCCTTTCGTCATTTGAGTCAACTCGGACTCATGTATTTACTTCACTATACATTTCTGGAGAAATTTTATCTGCATCTGTTCTTCCAGATCGTCCAGGCGGCACCAGCTTCTCTCCATCAAGTTTCGTGAATTTCAGCGCAGCATTTGAGGTAATACGACAATTATTGTTTGCGTTTTATGATTTTCGATGAATTTTCTGTGTCTGATTAATTTTGAATTCAAATGTACGAAGAATTTTTTAGTTCTAGGTTTCCAAAAAGCATGAATAATTTCATATTAAGCTGAATTTTTTTTTGGTTTTTTGTTTTTCTTGGTTTTTTTGGTTAATTTCTTGTTGGGAATTGCTTAGGGGTAGTTTTCATTGGAATAGTTCCTTGTCTTGTTTTTGTTCTTGGTTAATTTTACGAATTTTTTAAATGCAAATAATTTGCCTGTTCTTCATTGCAATTTTAGGATGTATTTGTTTCAACTGATTAGTAAAGTGAGCAAGTGATTTGAAAAGTTGCATAAAGGAACGAGTGTTGAGCTTTTTCAATCTGGATTCAATCAGCAAGGATTTATCAGGGTTTTATGAAGAATTTCAAATGGATGCTTATGGATTGGAATAAATCGTTTGAAAACAAAAAGCATTTGAACAAATTAGTTAAACCCACTGTTCAGTACTGAACCTTGTTTAATCATAAAATGATGAAATCTGATTTAGATGCAATGTGAAAAAATCCAAAAAATAAAAAAGACCAGGTACCATTACTACTCATTTGCCATGTCCAAGCTTGCTCATCGCATGACGATAAACTCACCAGATTCAGACCTTCGTAGCGAAAAAGTGAATCGGGGTTTAGGGCAAAATTATCAGATGCTCCATGTGCACCAGTTGACATTGCTATGTGGTGCATTGGTATCAATCATGGTTGTCAAAATCGCGATCCGGATCGTACGATCCTACGGTCCTACGATTCGGATCAGCAAAATCGATTTGGATCGTGCATAGAATCAAAAATTGCCTTAATATGCATAGAATCATTAGAATCATTAGAATCGTTAGTGAAATCATAGGATTGTACAATCCTATGATCCCATTGCGATCCTATGAATTTTTGAAAATTTTGTAAATGTGGGGCTAAATTTTGAAACTAAATGGAAACATTTGGAGCAGGTTTGTAACTTATCAAAGAATTAGATCCCTTAATTATAATTTTGCAACAATTTTTATCTCAAAAACAAAAGTTACAACAAAAAAAGTTTCAGGAATAAATGAATGAAACAAACAGAGACAAAGTCACAAAGGACAAAAAGAGAGAAATCCTCGTTGGTTTTTCCCCATCTCCATTCCAAACTTCTTTTCCATCTAGATTCCAATAAAATTTTCCAAAATTTTGCTAATCTCCCATTTCTAATTCTCTATTGATTTTGTATCCTTGTTTCAGCTCAAGGAATTTCCAGTAGAAGAAGTCGCCCAACGAAAACAACCACGAGTACCCGTAACCCCTAATTTGATTGTTTTTTTTAATTATGCCTATCAGCTATATATGTGTACTAAATGCTTTTAATATTAAGTGTTAAGATGGGTTGTATTCTTATTTTTAATTAGACAAGATGCCCAGACCTTTTTTTTTCATTTTAGGGTTCCGTTGCTTTTCTTTTTTTTTTTTTTTTGTAGCTATTTTGTGACATTAAAATATATATAGTTGTGGTTTTTATTCTAGTGCTTGTTTCTAATATTTGTTGTCCTTGTATTACTTAATATTCTTGTGAATTGCATTTGAAGTTGTGTTAATGGTGTTTATTCTTCTATGTTGGTCTAGATTTTACTAGAAGTCTCGGTTTTACTAGAGGTCAAAAAAGGTCTAAAAATAATTGAGATACGTAAATAATTAATGATTTTAATGTTGGAGGGAAGATATGACTTTTTATTATTGTTGGAGATTAACGCTTATGTTAGATTTGAAATTATTGTTGTGTAAACTGTAAAGCATTTGGTTTTAAAACTTGTAATCATAATTTATAACTGTTTATATTCTTTTTCTTTATTGCTTGTCAAACTATAGGTAAAACATGCTATATGTTTATAAATAATTTACTTATTTGATATCATTTTGGTTGTACAAAGTTGTCTATGAACTTTAAATTAATTAATTTAGTTAATTTGGGAGTTTTTGGTGGGATCTTATGATCTAATGATCCGATCTTATGAAACTAAAATTGATCCTACATAAGATCCCGATTTTGCAAACCTTGGTATCAATAACCGATCACCAAGTAATGTTGGTGGGTCATACCTTGTCTAGCAGGTAGTAGACAAGGTATGGCGCATCGTGGTTAATAATTGGTATTAGTACACTATATGGCAATTCGCGTGGTACACATGGACCTTCTTGGGGTTTAGGCATATACTCAAACTCTTGATTGGCTTTCGTCTAAACATCCCTAAGATAAAAGCTTGCTTGAAGATTAGTCCCAATTTTGGTAAAAAAATAATGATGGTTTTCTTTGTTCACACAACAAAGTTTTGTTGAGCTAATGCAAGGTCACAACTAAAGGTGTCAAAATGGGTGACTTGGGTGGGTTAAAATAGGTAATGAGTATAAGTGAGTTAACCCATTTATGCCCATTTAATTAGATGGTTATAAATGGATAAGTCAAAAAATGAGTTGAGTAATTCAATTACTCATTTATAACCCATTTATTCTAATTTTTTATAGACCCACCTAAATTCATTTTGTAAACTAAATTACCAATTTATACCACCCTTTGCAGTTTGCATCCATCATTAATTTTAAATAGCTACTTATAATGCCCAATAAGTCTAATTACCATTTTTTTTCATCCGTACGCTATGTCGCAAAATTGCATACTGTTTAATAATTGAACAATAAGAATATAAAATTTTGGACTAAATAATATGAAAGTTAACATAAAAACTTAATCCAAAAACTTTTAACCCCTAACATTTTTTTCTGTGTGTAAATTTAAATTTTCATTTTGGAAAGGTAGGAAAGGAGGATAAAGATTGTCATAAATTGGTAATGCTGAAAAATGAGTAAGTTAACAAACTACGAGAAAATAAAATGCTGAGATAAAACCAACAAATAATAATAATAATTGAAACAAAAGTAGTTAACATCATAAAAAAATGAAGAATCTAAGAACTTGAAATTGGATACTAGGAAAACACTAACGAAAACACTAATGAAAACGCGATAGAAAAATCTCCAAGTGTATAGTTTTTTTTTGTTTTTAAGTTGAAAACTCGCCAACAGATTCTCCCACATTTTCATTAGGTTCTCCATTTTCTGATGCTACGTTTGGTCAAAGGTGCTGAAGAAATTAAAATACTATTGTTGAACACAATTCTAAATGGATGTGATTGTGAAGACAATTCTAAATAGGTTAATTGGGTTTGGTGGGTTATCCAATTATACCAATTTAGTAAATGGGTATTATTGGATAACCCATTTGTACCCATATATAAAAACTTAAGACACTTATACCCAACTATTCATGGGCGGGTATGGGTAAATTTAACTAAATGGGTTTGTTTGACACCTATAGTCACAACTAACATTCCTTCCATAGCCAAATTGATAAAAGTGACTCATGTGGTTCAATCAGAATTCAAACACCTACTCGGTCTGTAATTCTTCTTGATAAATTTGCTATCTTGTATGTGGCGATTATACAGGATTAACAGAGACTTTGTTTTTTGCCTTGTTTTTTGCCTTGTTCGAAAGCGAGAATGGCTAAAGAAAACAAATAGAAAGAAAGAGAAGGAAAAGAAATATGAGATTGCGCTGATTGGTAGATTGAAATCATAGAAAGAGTTAGAGAGAGGAATTTCAAATGACATTAGTTGAATGAATTTCCATTCCAATCGTTTCTAATAGGTGAAATCCTTTGGGACTTACGGTGGATTCTAAATCTGAAGAGTCTTGAGTTATCCAAACAACTCCAATGGACTTGGCCTGTAGGGTATCAAATCCAAACAGTTCAAATACACCTTTTCAAGAGGATTCTGTATGTATTGTGTCAGAGATGCATTACAAGTAAAATCAATTAAAGTAAAAACATATTATTAAAATAATCCTTGAACTATAAAAACAGAGTTGGCCAAGGAGTAATGTCCGTGAAGCTCATCATGAATTTATTGTTAGATACTAACTCTGACATTGTCAGCAATTTCATTGAGGAATTTTATAATATCCATAAACTGATTTCGTAAGGCTTATATGCTTTCAAAAACCTTTGATGTTTTGTCTTTAGTTTTTGGGAAACCAAGTTAATTGTTCCTCTTTTTTTATTTTTGGGTAGGGAACATGGCTAATAAACTTATAGACCTTGGTATCAGACCATTACGTGGTTACATTTCCCTTGAGAAGAAGATGCAACATGTTCAAAAAGAACTTGATCATTTGAGGCATCAATGGGACAATATGATCGCGAGAGTCCAAGGTGCACAGTCACACCTGCGAAAGAAAAGGAAGAGGGCAGTTGAAGAGTGGCTTAAAGCAGTAGATGAAATAAAAATAGAATTTGGAAGCCTCAAAGAACAAGCCCAGCAAGCTAGCTTTTACAGTATATATGCGCGTTTGAAGATGGTGCAACATGCTGATAAAATGATTAAGGAAGTTACAGAGCTGGGTGCATCTCTAGAGGAGATTTTGCCTGATGGGCTGCTAGTAGAAACAGAGTGGCAAGGCCAAAAAATTGAAACAAATTTGAAAGAAATCTGGGCATGGCTTATGAATGATGGGATCTCAAGTGTTGGAATATATGGTATGGCAGGAGTAGGCAAGACAACTTTAGCAAAACGTATCTATGAGGATTTTGTCATTGGAACTAAATTCTCTGATAAAGTTTACTGGGTTACTGCCTCACAAGAGGGGACCATCCATAAATTACAAGACAGTGTTGCCATAGCCATAAATGTGGATCTCTCAAATGAGGAAGATGAGAGGAAAAGGGCAGCCAAATTGTTCCTGGCATTAAGCAGAATGGAAGATTTTGTGATCATATTGGATGATGTATGGATCCCATTTGACATAAATAAAATTGGAATTCCTTTAGGTTTAGATGGAAGCAAGTTGATAGTAACCAGTCGATCATTAGAAGTGTGTCATCAAGTCGGTTGCCAAAAGGAAATAAAAGTCAAACCTCTTTGCGAGAAAGAAGCTTGGACATTGTTTCTGGAGAAACTTCGCCCTTCACTTGAACTTCCTTTGCATGTAAAGGAGATTGCGAAGTCTATGGTTCAAAGATGCGGTGGTCTGCCACTAGGGATTATCACCTTGGCTGGAAACATGAAGGGAGTGGATGACATTCATGAGTGGAGGGAAGCCTTGGAAGAGTTGGAAGGATCTTTTCTTGGGCAAAATGACAATCTCTTTGATAGCTTACATCTCAGTTTTAATCACTTGAGAGATAGCAGACTGAAGGAATGCTTCTTGTATTGCTCTTTCTACCCTGAAAACTACAAAATTCCAAGGGATGAATTAATAAGATTGTTGATTTTGGAAGGATTCATGGATAAAAGAAGATCAAGGCTATCGTTATTTGACCAGGGTCATGTGATGCTGAAAAGACTTGAAAGTATATGCTTATTGGAAAGCCATACTGAAGTTAATGTGAGTAATTATAGAGAAACTGAATGTGTCAAGATGCATTGTTTGATAAGAGATATGGCACTAACGATAATGGACTTTGACAGTAAGTATATGGTAAAATCTGGAAGATGCTTGAAACATATACCAGATGAGATTGAATGGAAAGAGGACTTGGAAAAGGTCTCATTGCTACATAACAACATATCATTAATTCCGTCAGGCACATCACCTAACTGTCCTAAACTTTCAAGCTTGAATTTGGCGAGTAATCCATTGAGGTTAATTCCTGATTCATTCTTTTTTCGGTTGAGAGCCCTCCGAGTTCTGAATTTAAGCCGCAACTGTGAACTTGAAATGCTGCCAAACAGTATTTCACAATTGGGGAACCTTACTGCACTGTTACTGTTTGATTGTTGTAGACTCAGTTTTGTACCGCCAATAGGGAAGCTCAAGGCATTAAGGGAGTTAGATTTATGCCATACTGCTATCAACAATGTACCTGAAGGCATGGAAAGATTGGTCAATCTGAACTGCCTAAACATGGATAGTACAGGGTTGAGGATGATTCCAGATGGTACAATATACAGACTCTCCCATCTTCAAAGCCTTCGGATTCCAGAAGATGTGGAAGTCAGAGTAGAAGAACTAAAGGCACTGAAACATCTGGAAGAATTTCAAGGTGGATTTTATGATATAGACACTCTTTGTCATTTTGTTAGGTATCACCAGAGCTATGAAGCTCCCATTTTTTATACTATTGAAGTGAGACCAAGTCTGAGCCAGTTAAGGTTTCTGTCTCCAGGTCCATGCCAAATAACTAACAAGAAGGTGACGCTTAGGGGCATGGAACTAGAAGGAAAGAATGCCATAGTGCTGCCAGAGGACATTCAACAACTTGCTATAATAAAATGTCACGGCCTAGGCACCTGCTTAACTTCTGCTTTTTCATTGTTCAATATTCAAAAAAGTGGCTTGACTGGCTGTTTAATTGACAATTGTCCTGAACTAGAGTGCATCATGAAGGTATCCTCTTCTGATGACCAACTAGTTGGAAAGAGAATGTTATCTCCTTGGGCCCCCCTGGAAAGCATTGAGCATTTGAGTCTCCATTTCTTGCCAAATTTTGTTGGACTTTTCAAATGGGAAATTGAGTTTGACCGTCCTCCATGTAGGATCTTTTGCCATCTAAAATCGATTAGCATCAGCCGGTGCAATACGATGACAACAATATTCACACCATGGTTGCTGCAGCACCTGCAAAATCTGGAAGTAGTTGAAGTACTGTCTTGTGATAGATTGGAAGAGATAATAGCTGATAAGGAAGGTGGCAACATGGTTTTCAGTCCAAGTGACGATGACCAACACTCATTCATAACCTACATCAACTTCCCAAGGCTTAAAAAGTTGACTTTACAACATCTACCAAAACTAAGGAGCATCTGTGAGGGAACAATAATCTGTGATTCAATTGAGAATATAAGGTTAATGGGGTGTAAAAATCTTGCATGGATGCCTCTGTCTTTTTCCAGCATCGGTGGACAACCAAATCCTCCCCCGGCCCTTACAGCTGTTGAAATCTTGAAAGAAGAGCTGGAGTGGTGGAAGTTGTTGCAATGGAAAGATCCCGGTTTGGGGAATGTCATACAACCTTTTGTTCAATTTGTTGCTGAATTTCCAGTAGTTTAATCAAGGTTCCTTCGACCCTCAAGTAAGTCTCTCTTTTCCTTCTCAGTTGTTCTCCATGTCCCTGCTACACAACTCCCTATTTGCACTACCAACACTTGTCTGAAATGATCTAACATGAAGATAAAGGCGTGAAGCACCCCAAAAAAAAAAGTGAAACACTAACTACTATGTTGCCTTTTCTTTCAGTTCTGTCAAATTCTGTTCATGTGATCTTATAGGTGAAGTAGCGTTTGAATGATGATCTGTTAGCTAGATGTCAGACAGATTCTTTCACCGATATTACTGTGGCCATTAATTTTGTTTTTTTACCAAATTCTGCTTGTATTTCCCTATGTCATGCATCATTGTGCATGTCCCAGGAGCATTCTGGTTTGGCCCTGATTTCTGCTTTTGCATTAAATCGTGTATGTTGTTTGCTATAGGTAACAGCAGTAATTACTTATGTACACTTTAATACTTTGATTAGTTCCTTGTGGCTGATATGGTGAAGATATCTACTGTTCATTTGCATATTCTCATTTTTATTATTTTGCTTTCTTTAGTTATAATTTGCTTGTTCCATCCTTTTCTGTACACAGCACAGGTTGAATTTATGGTCCCCCAAAAAAAAATGCAAGAAATCTATCCATCACTGGAGAATGCAAATTGAAAAACTAGAGGTGCAACGGTTATATTTCTAAATTGGTAGTTTGGGCTTGGGGAATATGGACTTCAAGTATTAGTCTCCAGTGGCTATTCATACCATGTCTGTCATTGATAGAAAAGTAGTAGTTAATCGAGTATAATATATTCTTGGGGTAGTCAGAGCTTACGAATTCTCAAATCTTGCAAAATAATGGTCTAGACAACTTCCTAATATTTCTCCTTTCGACTGACACATTTAGACCAGTTAAGCAAAGTTTGGAACTTAATTTTGAATTCTTTCTCATAATGGTCGGTTGACTCAATGGCCATTGTTTCCCATTCCATAATAATGACAGCTATTCTGTGTTATTAATATTCAAAATTTGGAGATACTAAGATGATCCCCTTACCAGGGAAAAAAGAAACATAAGGTCTCCATCAGAATGGCTGGTGCTCTGGCGAATCTTCTTGATTTGACTTCCATTAAGCCTCTGACCTCATTTTTGCCATGGCATCACCAAATATTCTGGTTGGTGATTGAGATCTTTTACTTTGGCCTTGTTCTCAGTTGCTTTAGATTTTGTAAAATCTAATTATGGAAAGTGATTATAGGAATAATTAGAATCAGCAAAAGCAACTCTTTGGTTGATTGTGGATTTTAGCTTTCTTGGTTATTAAAAAACCTATAATCTGAACACAAAACCAAATAAGAACATCACAAACATGAACAAGCCAAGAAATAATCAAAATAATCAACCGAGAACAAGCCAACATCTACAAACATGGCTAGAAGCCCTTGAATTTCTAGCAGTTTTCATTTTTGGTTTGGCTCTATTGAATCCCAAACTTCTGATTTGCTGAATAATTCCTAAGTTCCAGTTTATGGTGTAATTCCCCTTTCCTTGACTTGACTTGCTTGCATCAGCGCTACCCCTTAGCCTTCTTGGGCCTTGCGGTGTGTTCATATAGGCGATATCTGGTTTATTTTCCTGTGTGTTCTTTTTACTTTAATCTTGACCACATGATTATAGCTTTGCAGCACAGCAGCTGTTGTTGCTGGGAAGCGCCTGAGAATACTCGGAGCCTCTTTTGTGTTCATCCAGAGTTGGAAATGAAGTTTGTTATCATCCTAAATTCCCTTGGAATTTGCGTCAGTGCTTTTCAACCACACCAAGGTTTTGCTTCTCTCAGGAACCCAAGCTAATATGAAGTAACGACAGTTAATCCCAGTTGCCGAGTCTTAATATAGTTCTGAACCTGCATTTGCTAAGCCAGCTAGGAAATGCCACATAAGCAGTTAACAGTTATGGATTGCCTATCTGCCCTTTTGTACAGTTATTTCTCGGCTTTCATTGGCTTTCGATGCTGTCGAATTTGAACTTTTCGGTGCTTAAGAATTTACCCCAGTTCCCTTGAAACCTAGTCCAACTTATTTCAGCGGACACCAAAGTGCTGTCTTTTGGAGGAACAAATTGGACGAGTTGGACATTGTAAAACAGAGAAATCTCCAATAAACCAAATGGGGCTTTATTCATGGATTCCTTTTCTTTTCTTAATCATGATGTAGAAAGTGGTTGGAATGTATTTTTGAGAATAAGAAATGCAACAGATCTGAACATTTTGCCTTCCATTATTCCAATAATCAGTTGTGCTCGAAATCTCATTCTTATTTATTCTCTTAGAAACCTCTGTAACCAGAAAGGTTGTCTAGCATTTTAAGCTCATATAGATGTTTAGTTTCCCTCTTTAGAACAATGGCCAAATCCCATATATGGAAGTGTATGATATTTAATTCTATAGTCCCTTTCTTATGGAAGTGTTATTAAGTTACACTTACTTCAGAGTTTGTGACAATTCCAATGTTTAAAATGACAGTTTTTTTTTTTTTTTTGGAGACGATAATTATTATATAACATATTTATCCTAGACTAGAGGAGAGGGGAGCCTAAAGAGGCTTTATGTTAGGGACTAGTAGGGAGTAGGGACACAGACCTTAATAAATCAAGAAAGTATTTTGGCATAATCCTGATATTTTTTTACTGCAAGTGGAATTTAAGCCTCCACTTATAGCCCAAGCAGGGTCTTAAGACCCACCTTGATGGCCATTGAACTAAGCTCAGTGGTTTTAAATCAACAGAGTTATTAAGTCACATTACTTTCTTTATAGTAGAAGAAGTGGGCGTGAATGACAAAATTTTAGGACAGTTTTCCGGTACCAGGGCATTCGTGGTAGTAGACACCTCCAGAGTTTTTTTTTTTTTTTTTTGGGAGCGCAAGTGGGGTTATTTTTCCGGAGTTTTTTTTTTTTTTTTTTTTTTCCGCAGACGACAACTATTGTATAACCTATCTATCCTAGACTAGAGGAGAGGGGAGCCTAAAGAGGCTTTGTGTTAGGAACTAGTAGAGACAGACCTTAATAAATCAAGAGAGTGTTTTGGCATAATTCTGGGATTTTTTTTACTGCGGGTGGAATTTAAACTTCCACTTATAGCCCAAGCAGGATCTTAAGACCCACTTTGGTGGCCACTAAGCTAAGCTCAGTGGTTTTGAATCGACAGAGTTATTAAGTTACATTACTTTCTTTATAGTAGAAGAAGTGGACATGAATGACAAAATGTTATGACAGTTTTCCGATACCAGGGCATCCGTGGTAATAGACACCTCCAGAGTTTTTTTTTTTTTTTTTTGGGCCGCAAGGGGGGTTATTTTTTCCGCAGTTTTTTTTTTTCTGGAGATGACAACTATTATATAACCTAACTATTCTAGACTAGAGGAGAGGGGAGCCTAAAGAGGCTTTGTGTTAGGGACTAATAGAGACACAGACCTTAATAAACCAAGAGAGTATTTTGGCATAACTCTGAAATTTTTTTACTGCAGGTGGAATTTAAACCCCCACTTATAGCCCAAGCAGGATCTTAAGACCCACCTTAGTAGCCACTGAGCTAAGCTCAGTGATTTTGAATCGACAGAGTTATTAAGTCACATTACTTTCTTTATAGTAGAAGAAGTGGACGTGAATGACAAAATGTTATGACAGTTTTTCGGTACCTGGGCACTCGTGGCAGTAGACACCTCCAGAGTTGTTTTTTTTTTGGGCCGCCTGGGGGGAGGGGTTTTTTTTTCGGAGACGACAATTATTGTATAATCTATCTATCTTAGACTAAAAAAGATGAGAGTCTAAAGAGGCTTTGTGTTAAGGACTAGTAGAGACACGGACCTTAATAAATCAAGAAAGTGTTTTGACATAACCCTGGAATTTTTTTTACCGCAGGTGGAATTTAAGCCCCCACTTACAGCCCAAACAGAGTTATTAAGTCACATTACTTTCTTTATAGTAGAAGAAGTGGACGTGAATAACAAAATATTAGGACAGTTTTCCGGTACCAGGGCACCCGTGGCAGCAGACACCGCCAGAGTTGTTTTTTTTTTTTTTGGGCCGCACCGGGGGGTTAGGGAACTTTGACAGGATATAATGCGAAATACTTCCTGCATTATATTTGGCAAGAAATGTCGAGTTCCATCATGCATATTCTATTTGGCAAGGATGTAAGTTTCTTGGAAAGAGATTTCTTCTTATTTATCTTCAACAAATAGACATAAAAGGGGTAGGAGTCAACGAGTCAAAATATTGGAAATAACTATAGGAACAGTACGACGACATATTTAATGAGTTGGTCAAACTTTCAAAGTTTCACCTCAGCTGGTAAGAATAACACTATCTAATGAGTCCTTATTTCAACTTTCAAGTTCTCCCGTTTGCTTCTGTGAACTTAGTTGCTCATTCAGCAGCTAGGTACCTGCAATCATTTGCGATTGAACCATTTGCTTGAGTTCCAAGCTGAGAAGGCATCCATGCAGCTCAACCAGCAAATTAGATGCTATTCCTAGTTTTCCTACTGAACCCTTTTATTCATTCCCCAAAGCGATCCGCTTGAGTCCAGCTCTAGCAGGGCTTAAAGTTTCCTTTGGTTGCTCTGTAAGTGTCGAGCGTCTGGAGTGGCGTGTGTATTGCGGATTGTCTTCCTAGTGGTAACCATCTTTGTTCTCAACTCTTCGAGCCTTTGGCACATTTATCATGTGTTCGCACTTGTAGCACTATATGCTGATGGCAAGGACTTCAAATCTTGTACTAGTCTATCCATTTTTCTGTTACCTGCTATTGATCTTCTGCCTCCTAGTCTACTACTTGTCTAGTCTACTAGTCAAATGCTGGGCTATAACCCTTGCTTAAACTCTGATATTCAGGTTAGAACATGAAGAAAGAATAAAGTTGAATCTATTCAACATGATTAAAATGTGACTTTTAGGTAGTATAGAAAAAATACCTGACTCTTGTGTTGGACTTGACTGAATTTAGTGTCTATTAGGCTGCAAATGGATGTGACTCTTGTGTATGATCCAAGTCAGGTCTTGCCATTTGATTAGGTGATCATTTTTGTATCACCACACTTCTTCTATCAAGACGAGTCAAAAGGGTTTAGTCACTTAATTATAAAGTTCAAGTTTCATGCATTTACGTGTCCATTCCCTGGTGGTAATTTTGGTTTTTTTTTTTTATTGTTTTCTGGTTCAACTCCAACCGATTAACAGCATAGGTTAACTTCCCTTTGTTGGTCACTGGGATATGACATTCTGTTGATATGTCTATTGATTTGCACAATGTTTGTCACTTCCAAATCAAACATTAGTATTCATATTGTCTCTACTTTGGGGAAAAAGAAAAGAGTAATACTATACCTAAAAGCAGAGTAATTTTTGCACTGCACCATTCGTTAATGGTACCATCTCCACCTTTTGAATCATATGAAAGGACAACAATACTCCTACTTCCATTGCAATTAGACTTAATTCCTAGTCCTACAAAGGAAATGCAGGAAGAGAATTGTTTTATCATGTAGGTTGGGTCACTCTTCATTATCTCAGCGGCCATGTCTCTTATCAAAGGATGCATCTTCAAGCAATCCACTCCATCATCATTCACAACACAATCCAGCAAAAAAGCCTTCACGAGTGCTTTGAGTATGGTATGACCCTGATGAAACTTTGCTTCTCTGCATCTTCTATCTAGCAATCCTTTCGAGATGAGCCCTCGAACGACTTCATCCCTTGGAATTGTTTCATCTTTCAAGAGGATAGAGCAATGCAAGAAGCAGGTCTTCCACCTTTCATTTCTCAAGCCATAAAAACTGCTTTTCATTACCTCAAAAACCTTGTCGTCTGGTCCTTCTTCCATCTCTGCCAATGCATCTCTCCACTCACGAATGTCATTAGCCCCTATCATGCTTCTCACCTTAGCGATGATTCCAAGCGGCAAACCTCCGTACTTTTTTGAAAAGGACACGGCCCACCTGGCAATCTCTAGGACATCTGGAGGGAGCTTTTGGTCCCTAATATGAAGTTTCTCCATAAACAGCAGCCAACCTTCATGAGCAGAAAGAGGGAAGTTGATGATTGGTTGAAAGAAGTAGAAATCAAGAAAGTGAAATACCGACACCTGAAAGGAGAATACTAGAGGAGACCATTTCGTTCACGTATTTCATTGGCACAGTGTGTTGATGCAATGATTCGGGAGACATCAGATCTTCGTGAACAAGGGTCATTTTGCAGTGGCTATACGATTCCTGTCCAAGTGGAAAATAAGCCTTGGTAACAGAAGAGCCAATCAGTTCAACAAAATTTGACGGACGCACGGGCTTGGTTAACGGATGACAAGGTTTCATGCAACGGGATCTATGGTATGCCTGGAGTAGGCAGAACAGCTGTAGTAAAAGAAGACAAATTTTTGAAGCATGTATATTGGTTCAGTGATGCTAATTCTGCAGTCTCCAAATTGCAGGACGACTTGGCAGGAGACTTGCATGTCGATATCTCAAATATGGATGTTGGTGATGATAGGAAGAGGGCAGCCAAATTATCAAGGGCATTAGAGAGGAAGAACAAGTTTGTGATCGTACTTGATGGTGTATCGACACCTATTGATGTTGGAAAGATAGGAATTCCTCTAGGAAAAGAAGGGAGGAAGTTGATTGTGGTTAGTCTATCATTGGACGTGTGCTACAAAATGGGATGCCAGAAGGAAATTAAGGTAGGTGGAACCACTTTCTGCTGATGAAGGTTGGATGCTGTTTATAAAGGAACTTCATATTAGGGACCAAGAGCTTCCTCCAGATGTCCTAGAGATTGCCAGGTCCTGGTCGCAGGGACAAAAATGGGCAAAACACAAGATGCTGCAAACAGTGCAATAACAGAAAAAATAAAAAGGAAAAAGGGATTGTCTTTCTGCCTTAAAACTACTGAACCAAATAGCCAAAGAACTTGGGAGAAAATAATGGAACGTAGATGATTTGAACAAGTACTCAACAGCATTACCTAGTGAACAATGAAGGTATATGGGACAATCCCTACTTAGATGGATTAATATTGGGAATGAAAGTTGGGCAAAATAAGGGTGTCTTCACCCCTAGATATAGGGAAATAAAGGCACTAGGAGTTGTATGTATTGAGTCCAGAAGTAATAGGGTTTTGTGGATTTTAGACAGAGCACTGAAAAGAGGAGGAATATGATCAGAAACTCTCTTGGAAATTCCTTTTGGTTGAGTGACATATTCTCACAGCATGAGGCAAGCCAAGGATTGGACTCTTGGCACTTAAAGCAGATTAAGATAAAATTACTACCAAAATAGTGTGGCCATAAATATTTTGAACAGAAAGTTAATTTTGTGTAAAGTGCAAAAAAAAATTTATATAATTTTCCTGCTCGTATTGAATTCTTACCACGTTTTCTACCCAAAAAGAGGGAATTAAGATTATACATATACATATGTATATATATATATATATATATATATATATATATATGTGTATACATATATACCTATATTGAGGATGCGTTAATTTAATTGTTAAGATTGAGACTCTAAAACGTAGACGTTGTGAGTTCAAATTCCTTTTCACCTTCACCGTTTTTTAAATTCCTCTTTCCCTGCTAGGACAAAGTTTTTTTAAATAAAAAAACCTACAGTTTATCTTCAAAATGTGCATTATATATATATATATATATATGTATATGTATATGTATATAGACAGACACGCACATAACCTACAAAAGTCACTTTGCTTCGTTAACAAGATTCTTTTTTTTATTTTTTCCCTCTGCTACTAAATAAAGACCGATCTTCCTAGGAATTTAGAGAGAAAAAGAAAGGAAATTTCCTCCCATCCTAGCTACAAGTTCCATTGAGGCATTGACCAAGCTCTATGACCGAAAGTTGCCAATTGCTCAACCGCGTAATCCTGTAAATGAAGTAATAACTTCTACCCTAGGAAGGAAGACCGGAAGATAACAGGTAAATCCAACCAAATTTCCAGGAAACTTTAGTAAAATGAATTGGACATTTCTTTGAAGTTTCTAAATGATTTTGGTCCCCATGGCATGCACGTGACATCTGCTACGGTGTTCTACCTTTCCTTTTGTTTTCTTTTTTCAATATTTAAATAGGTATGAATCCTAATTATCACTGTGTTATTTTTCCCACTTTGAATGAATTTTGGTTTCCCACCTAGCAATATTTTCCCTTTGTACAATACAATCTTACATTTTCTAAAAAAAATCATACTTTTTTTCTTGGCTTTGTTTTTAGTGTACAAAAAAAAAAATTAGAATGCTCTGTCGAGAATTAAAATATAGGGAAGTGACCTAAAAAAAGAATAGAAATAATATCTGTGTGTTTGGATAGGTATTCTGATATTACTCAGACTAGAAAAAAAAAATTTGATATTACTTTTGCTTTTTTCTATTTATCTTTCTCTGACTAAAATACTTTTGAGGGATTTAGGCGGTTAGGGAAATAGACTTGGAAGATAAAGAAGAAGGATTCTCATTTCAGAAAATTTACTCCACAAAACATGATTAATAGAAGTTGACATCTCTGGCCAAATGGTAGGTAATACAATAAACTTTTTCACATTTATATCCTCGTGAACATGGAAAAGATTCCCTTTGTACTGAAAATTTTCTAATGAACATTTTCGTTCTTGTCCAAAGCTATGTACATTATCAAAGTAGTATTGCTCAAGAACTTAACTTTCTTTCAAGATATACCCAGCTTTTCAAAGACTGACTAAAATGTAGAGATTTTTATTTGACAAGCAGTTTGTGGTTATGACTTCGTAAGTATGTCAAGTTTTGGATAATCCCTAAATCTTTTTTTTTTTTTTTTGGTCATATGACCACCTGTGGTATCCTGAATCACCAGACTAGTCTACACGTGTCCCACACCAACCTACCCAAGCTATGTGGGTTGTTTCACCGGGGATTCGATCCTTAGCAGTGGTATTCACCTAACTAGCCTACTACCACCAGACCAAAACCCCAGGGATAATCCCTAAATCAGTAGATGATGTATTAGTGTGGTTCGAGTTGCCTATGGAGGTGGGTTGTGTCCTTTCGGCTTCCATAGTGTGCCTAAGTATAAAATTTTTCGGCGAAGGAACAAATAAAATAAAGTTATGTTCACCCTGTGAATATAAGTGGATAATAAAATGCAGTCTAACTGGTGAGACATTTCATTTGTAATTCACAGGCCACGAGTTAGAGTCATTAATTAAAAGAGTAGGTTGAAAACTATTATTGATGATACACTTAAAAAAAAATAGGTGGACAATTATGATATTCACATAACCTATCGAATAGTAGAATATGTGTTTAATGAATTACATAATAGGAGGCAACAAGCCACTAATATCCTACAAGTTATTAAAGTATGAATTTTTTGTGTAAAAAAAAAAAAAAAACCCCCCACGAAGCATAAAGATTGTATTTGTAGTGATCAATTATATATAGTGACAAATTACTCCCATTACTTGTTCTCGTATTAAAAATTGTTATAAATTACTTGTGAACACGTTGACACACAGACATGACTTTCAACTAATAATTTGGGATCATTATCAAACTTTTTTCCACCCAATACCAAGGATGAATACCCTTTCATCACTGGAGGCACATTTATATACTTGTTGAGACAACTTGAAATTGACCCATGCAAAAAAAATAAGAAGAGAGGACTAGAAAATAAGAAAAAAGGAGACAATTGTTTAACAATAATTAACATGTTCCAATGATTGCATACACTATACTGATTCCAAACATTTGCTCAAACATTCTGAAATTGAACTCCTACAGAATCATTCAAACTAAACAACCAGAAACAAAATCAAGAATAAATTGCTGAAGAGATTATAAATCCCACCTCATGAATATCTCTGACGAACACCCTCACTTGACTAAATTAGGAAAACAGTGACGAATTAAATGAACACCCTCATTTGATTGGCTTAGGAAAAAATTGAATGACCAAAAAAAAAATGTAGGAAAATGACCGCTTCAAGGATGAAAAAGAGCCAAAAATCATATCCTTACAAGGAGACAATCAGAATGGTGGTTTTCTTTTTCTTTTTTTGTTTCTTTTGCCAAATTTAAAAAGGTGGTTATGGTGAGGAATTGTAGGACGAAGTTGAGAATACATGGCAGCTATGCGGTGATGAAACCGTTAGAGAGAGAGTTCTAGAAAGTCAAGACGGAGGAAACAATAATACTATAATCGTATGTTGAAATTATCAAATTGCCACGAAAGTTGCTCAAAATTACAGCAATAGCCACCGAAAAGAACTTTTATACTGGAAACTAATTTTCTTTGCTAATTTAGTGCCCACGTAGAACTCTATCACCCTGCCGTATTAGTCGCATCTTTTGCTTTTTTTTTTCTTTTTTTTTGGGCCGGAGGTGGGGCCAGGGGGGGAAGAAAATAGAAGGAAATAATTGAAGGTGATCTTCATAGAGAAATCTTATTAAAAAATTTTAAGCAGACAAGGCATGAACTAGGAATTTGTACAGGCATAGTATCGCAAAAAATGGTCCGTCCTCTTTAGTGCATCCCAATATACAAATCTTCTTCACTAGAACACAATAAAGAATGCCTATACACAATAAGGAACATAGGGTCAACATCTACACAGTATCGAGCAAAGGATGTTAATATTGTGTGGTTATACATCTATTTGGCACCATTCTGAACAGAATAATCTTAGGGGCACATAGTTTTGGTTCTTCATTAGCGAGGTCGAAAACCATACCAGTCTTCATTTATGATCTTTTTTGCTTGGCCTTTGTCAGGTTGAAAACTATTCTCTCGACTAGAATTTTTTCGTTTCTTGCTTTTAAATTAGCTTTTGAATATACTCGTATGATTATCAATCATGTTGCAAACTACTGACAGAACATTGCAGTGTCACAAAAACATGCATCTTTGTATTCAAATGGCTTTTTGAGAAGATGGCCGTAGAAATCAAGCAATACAGGTGAGAATTTGAGCTAATTTCTTAGAAAGTGGATCAATATATGATCCACCAGCTTTCATGCAAAAGCCATGGATCATATTGCTAAATTGTATCCCCCCAAGAGTCTAAAATATCCAAGAAACCTTGACGACCCAAATAACAGCTGAGCACAAATCAACGACCTAAGAGTAAAGTAATAAAATGTGCGACACCAGACCCATCCAAATCAGATTATAACTGGCTCCAGAGCTCCACAGAAT